TTCAGGCCTACAGGTTGTAGTAACTATCGCTTTGTATGTTTTGTTGTGATACAATCAAAAGAATATATAATTTGGCATTTTTGTATGTATGTTTCGAAGGACATCTGAATACACAATTCCATACCAAGATTTTGGAACACAACTCCGGAGCAACAATCCGAAACGCAAATCCGGACATAAGTTCCAGAACAAAATTCCAAAATGTTCATCGTACTGCAGAAGAGTTCTTATTATTTCGGACTTGTTTCGAACTAGTCAAAAATGAAGTTTTTTATAAGAATTTTTCATGTAGCATACATATATTCCTACATATAATCATATATTTAAACCTATAAAATTCAAAGAAAAACTAATAATACATATATAAACGAATAAATTATACAAGGATTAACGTATAACTAAAAATAAACGCATATAATTATAAAATAATGGAAATCTAAAAAAATGCATCTCATCACCACTATCAGAATATATTTTCAGTTTTAATGGTGTCCGGAATCCTCTGTAGGGTGATCTGAAATGAGAGATTTCGAAATGAAATCCGAAACGAATTAAAATGGTATTTATAGGGGGCACAACATTACTGGGACAGATCCATTACCCATTTACCGAATACAAAATCGGGTCGGGAATTACCCATTGAGAGTGGTCATTTTGCAAAAAGAAAAAAAAAGAAAGGTTATTATTATTAAAATAACATTAAAAAATGGTTAGTTTACTCAATTTCCCTTGTTTTAATGTTTCACATGTTTTAATGTCAAGTGTCTTTTGTGTAATTTTAATTTCGTTGTCTTTTAACTTCAAGTGTAATTTTTCTATGTATTTCAATGAAAATTTTAGTTTTTATATATATATATATATATATATATATATATATATATATATATATATATATATATATATATAAATGAATAAGTTTCTTCTTTTTCTTGACAAGTGTTACAATATTAGAAATCCTCATTAATATAATATATCACCTATTATGACACATGCCAACCTATTAATTTTTCATTTTATATTTAAATTTTAAATTTTCCACTCTAATTTCATTAAATTAATAATTGATTCTTAATTTCAAATTTTAAATTTTACACTGTAATTACATTGAATTAATAACTTTAGAATAAAAAATAAAATAAAAATAAATATATATTATAAGGTGATATAATTTCATATATATACACACACACACACACACACAAACACACACATATATATATATATATATATATATATATATATATATATATATATATATATATATAAATCAACAATTATAATTTTATATAACTTAAAAAATATCTCTTAATTAATAACTTATTTACAATAGTTTATTTGAAATAATTAATTAATAATTTTAAGTTTCTACTATGAAAGTTTAATTAGTTTTATAACCGTGGTTCTCATCTTCCTATTCAAATAAATGAATAAATTTATTTTCTTATTAACCAGTGTGACAATATTGAAAATCCCCATTAATATGCCACTTATCATGCTACATGTAAACATATTATTCTATATTTGAAATTTTAAAATTTCTATTAAAGTTATATTAAATTAATAATTGATTCTTCATTTCAAATTTCAGATTTTAAAATTCAAAATCTAATTACATTAAATTAATAACATTAGAATAAAAAATAAAAATAAATAAATATATATTTTAAGGTGATATATTTTCATATATTTATTTAAATCAATGATTATAATTTTTTATAACTAAAAAATATCTTTTAATTAATAATTTATTTGAAATAAATGATTAATAATTTGAAGTTTCTACTATGAAAGTTTAATTAATTTTATAACTGTGGTTCTCATCTCCATATCTCCTCTCCTTATTCTAATAAATAAACAAATTTATTCTCCTATTAACAAACGTCACTATATTAAAAATCCTCATCTACTCTAATAAATGAAGGTTTTTTTTGGTTATTTGTCACACTCTCATTTAATTTGCCAATTGTCATTTTGTTGTTATTTTTTGAATTTTTTTCCACATGTCATATAAGTATATATATATTTTTTTAAAAAAATTCACATAATATTTTAATGTAATTATTGCAATAAATATAGTAATAACTGGATATCAATGTTATTAATGAACTTACATTTTAATTTCAAAATTCTCAAAATTAAAGCTCATTGTTTTTTTGTTTATTTATCTAAACTATTTGTTTAAATTCAAAAGGTAAAAAAATATTTCCATTATAATAATTCATTATTTTTTTATATTTTAAAAATACAAAGTTCTTAAATATTTAGACCTATATATTTATTTTTTTAAAATTAACCCATGTAATACATGAGTCTTACAACTAGTTAATATTATATGTCACCTATCATGCCACATGTTATCGTATTAATTCTTCATTTCAAATTTGAAAATTTAAATTTCTTACTCTAATTACATTAAATTAATAATTGATTCTTCATTTCAAATTTCAAATTTAAAATTCCACACTCTAATTACATTAAACTAAAAACATTTGGATAAAAAATAAAATAATAAAATATATATATATATATATATATATATATATATATATATATATATATTATAAGGTGATATAATTTCATGTATTTATTTAAATCAACGATTATAATTTTATATACCTAAAAAAGTATCTCTTAATTAACAAGTTATTTAAAATAATTTATTAATAATTTTAAGTTTCTACTACAAAAGTTTAATTAATTTTATAACCGTGGTTCGTACGGGTTATAAACTAGTGTATATATATATATATATATATATATATATATATATATATATATATATATATATAGGCGTGAGCTTTGTCACTTTTTTCATGCAACATAGTTTATAATATATATATAATATATATATATATATATAATATATATATATATATAGATAGATAGATATATAAACTATGTTGCATGAAAAAAGTGACAAAACTCACGCCTACTCTACATGTCAACATTTTTAGTGTGACAAACGTGCCACTATTCTCTTTAGCCTAACAAGGATGAGGACAATGTCACAATGTATGGCTATAGATTTGTAGAGTCAGTTAAAAGTTTAAAACAAACGTTAAGACCAAACATACAGACTACGAGACCACAGGGACCATTCGGTAATTATTCTAGATTTTATGGAATTTGGTGTTAAATGTTGAAAATTAAGGATGAGGAAATCCTTTTCGCCAGACGAAGCAAAGGCAGTGTAAATAGGCAAAGAGTTGGTTGCATAAAATACTTCCACCAAGTTTGTACTTATTATCACGATCTCTACTAAAAAAGCGAGCTTTCTGATTCCCAAATGTAAACCAGTCATCAAACTCCCAACACTCATGCCATCTAATCCCCACATGCAACCCATTTCTTTTTTTTGAGATGTTAGTTCTTAATTCATTTCATTTATTTTACATTGTCCGATTGATTGATTTTTAAGCACGAAGAATCGAGCATTTCTAGTCACTTGCGACCACTCCTGTTTCGCAGTAAATCTTATTCCGTTTCCAACTTTCCGCTCTTGGATTTCATCTTTGCTTCGTATATCAATTGAAAAGATATTCGTAGTCACAAAAAGTTAGTTTTGAGTATGAGCACTGACACAATTGCTTTGATTCATCAAACAACTAACTTTAGTTTCAAATTGTTAGAAACTAGAGTTTTGATGGATAATTAGTTTAGAAAAGATTAGTCACATGGCTAATCATCAAATTGAACTAATTTTCATTATGAATATCTTATCACACAGATAATTGAGCTATTGCCCTTAAATGTAACCTAAGAATGAAATTGCAATGATGTTCTTTATAAGATAGGAGTTTGGGGGTCAAAACGTCATTTTCTTGAGTATAAATCGATTGGCTCATAGCCTTATGCAGACAATGCATATTCTGCTTTAACTATCATATCATCATAAACATAAGTAGGTTATCCAAACACTATAAACTGATTATTTATGATTAAAATGATCAAAATCCCGTGAAATTTAAAAACCAAAAAACATATTTTGCAGTATTGGAAAGAA